GAGTAGCAGTGGGTTTGGTGCCGATTGTTAGGGAGTTCGCAAATTTGTTCCTTGAGGACCTTTCAGTTTATAACTAGTATTGGAGGTAGATTTCAACTTAGAGCTTGAGTTGGGAATAACTCCCATTTCTAAGTCTCATATAGAATTGCCCAACAGAGTTGAAGGAGCGAAAATCATAGATATAGGAATTGTTAGATGATAGAGGCTTCATATGCTTTAGTATCTTGCCATAGGGTGCATTGGTTTTGACTATGAAGAGAAAGGACGAATCCTTGCAACTAAATACAAACTACTGTGAGCTCAACAAGCTATTCCCTCCTTTTCGATGGTCACTCTAAGTTAACGTGCTTCATTTGGAGCAATCTTATGTTGAGTTACTTCCTGAGAGTTTTCTAAAGCATGTGAGTGAATACGAAACATGCTGAAAGGACCCATGTTGGTCTCGCCAGCCATTTGAGACCAGTAAGGTGATGTGACCTAATTGCTAGGAATCCAAGTGAACATTGGGGCCGTATACCAAATCTGAATTCCTAATCCTAGGTCAAGGATATTACAAATGGTATCAAAGTGGATTCTCTCTGGATAGGATGTGGTTCGAGGAAGCCAAGACAAGTTGGTGGGCCTGTGAAACTCAAGTAGAAGAGGGGTACATGAATGAACTGAGATCACATTTGAATGAGAGAGATCTTGAGGATATGCAACTATGGTTAAGAAAGACTTAAAATAATTGATAAGAACTACCTATATCAACAAGGCGCATCTTCCTTTTTTGGTGGCTCAATCACATAATTCTAAGGTTAAGTGTTTGGCTTGAAGCAATTCTATGTTGGATGATCCTAGGAATTGTTCTAAAAAGCATGTGAGTAAGGATCAGACATGCTGAAATGACTTGTGTTATTGGTCTATAAAAACGGTTTTCACACATGAGAGTCGATCGAGACAAGTAAGGTGACATGGCTAGATCGTAGGGGATGCAATAGAATGTTAGAGCTGTGTGCCTAATCTTGGTCTTGGGGATGCAGAGAAGGTAACAATAAAGAACAAGTACTCACCTCCTAGCGTTAATGATCTTTTCGATCAATTATAGGGAGAAATTGTATATTTTACAATTGACCAGCAGTTAGACTGCTACTAGTTGAGGATAAGAGACAAGGATATTTCCAAGACGACTTTCATGTCTAGGTATGGACATTACAAATTTTCTTTAATGTCTTTTGGGCTAACTAATGCATCTGCAGTTTTCATAGTGTGTAGAGAGTTTTTTGAAACCTTCGTGATTGTGTTTATTAATGGCATTAGAGCAATTTTGAATCCTAAGCTTGGAGTCAAGATGTAAAGGCTCCAAGCCTTAGTGCATTGTCATCAGGGGCATAGGTTTCTTATGATCATAAGAGGATGCATCACTCGAGTTTAAAGATTCGTGCCTTGTCCAAATACTTGGAGCATTAGTTCTTGTATAATTTCCTTGTCTTTGATGTGTTAAAGAACTTTTCTCTTTTTAAATGAATTTTAATTTAATGAAATGCTTTACGGACAGTGTGTCAACCTGATGGGTCTAATCTTTCATTATTTTCACTGTAAATTGCAGGCTGGAAACGTTGGATTCATCTGAGCCTGTGGCTCAAGCTGCATAAATATAGGTAATGCTTTTGCAGGGATGTTATAGTGTAGTTTTAAAGTGGCCTAGATAGTTTTTTCCCCTTAATTTTTTTCCCTTATCTTTGAAGAAGTTTGATGGTACAATGGACGTTTAGTCTAAATTGTCCTTTTTGGCTTCTCGGACTTCACTGACCAAGCTTGTCAAAGATCCTCTTTAATGTTGCAAGCTCGATATTATTTGTTTTGCATTTTTGTTAATAAGTTCTTGTGGGTTTTCTAATCTAAGATAATTGTAATAACACTAATTGATGAACATTGTACGTTTTACCATTTTTGTAATTAGGGGGAGAGGAAGAGTAGTTATTGAACTACAACTGCAATAATCACTAATTGATTTGTGTTTTACATTTTATGATACTTGTTATTAAATTTTCAAACTGTCACGTTTGTAATATTGTTTGTATATTGCAGAGGTCTGGTACTAGCTCTACAATTTATTAAGTTCCATAGCATCCTCAGTCGCTGCAGAACTTTTCAGGAGCAAGCATCTAGCAGAGATTTTCTCCCCCCTTGCTTTTAGCATTACAAGGATTGTATGTATTGGCTAGAAACCCTTTGCGTAACGCCACGCTGCATTTTTGTTTATCGTTCATGCCTGATTACAAGATCGACTGGCCAATAAATTTTGAAATCAGGGTCAGTTGAGAGTTTGTGTTACTTCACACAAACTGTGCTTCTTATTTATTCATGAAACTAGATTCTCTTACAAGTAACAACCCCACAATATCCTGAGGTTGTTCTTATGAAATTTATAAGGGAATAGATGTTATAAGTTGTGGCTATTGAAGTTATTATCACATTACCACTTTGAGCTTGGGAGTCCTGTTGCTATTAATTGTATGTTTAGTTTGTGGTTTTGATATGTTAGACATTTTGATGATCTCCGGGAACTCCATTATGAAAGTTTTTCTCAAGTTCTTTGGTTTTTTCTCTGTTGTCTTCTAGAAACTAAGTTCACAAGAAAATTTGTAGTACTTTCAGGTGGATTTTTGCGAGTTGGGAGTAAGATTCAAGATCTATTTATTAGTTCATTTAGGGGGAAGAGTTTGAATCTTATGGTACTCAATAGTTACTCTTGTTTTGATTGTGTTCTTAGATGATTTGAGGATCAGGTTCTTTTTTCCCCATAGACAGCAAGGGATGTTATGTTTGTAAAGAGAAAAAGGTCCTTTTATTGTGTTGAACCAAGGGTTGGCTTAACTTTACTAGGGAGTTATGGCCTAATAATCCATTAATAAAACTACTTTTCTAGGCACATATGAAAAGCAGAAATTGAAAGAACAATGATGCAAATTCCTTGCCTACAAAATAAAATGGGATGTCACGTGTCTTGACATTCTATGGAGGATGGAGATTAAATTTGGTTTAGCGCATTGATTGAGATTTTCCTTTCAGTAATTCTCTATCAATTATGCAATATCAAACAAAATTAAATTTCGTTAATGGACTGTAATTAAAGGACGTCAAACACTACTAAATGTGGAGTCATGAAAGCTTTCACTTCTAAAGTTGAGTTGAATGTGTAGGAGAATCTTCATTTAAGTGTGAATGGGAGAAAGTGGAGAGAGATTTCTCTTTATTAACTTGATGGGTCCGACAAGATTATATTCTTCATCTCCATCTCGGCCCTAATCCCTATATTCTTGTCTTTGCCCTAATCCCTATATTCTTGTCTCTGCCCTAATCCCATCTTGCGTGAGTTGAAAATTATATTATATTTTTTCTTATAAAATATTACTCGATTCATTAGGAGTTTTTACATTTTTTAATTGAAATTGTCCATTAATTTTTCTTATATATGAATATGTTTTCTATAATAATATATATATTATATATATAAGAAAATGGGAAAAAAATTTGGAGGAGAAACCTTGAAAAAATTTTATGCAGACTCTACTCTAATTCCTACGAAAAATGAAAATTTTTATAGGGATGAAAAGTAAATTAGGAGGAGATGGAGATAGAGAAAGCTTTTCTCGTCTCATATCCTATCTTGTAGATATCTCTACTAAAGTTTTTAGATACTCTAAAGTTTATGCAAACAGAGAACCGCGTTAAGTCCTTAGCAATATTCCCTTTTGTTCACCATATTCTATTATAGAAAACTAAGATAAAAAAAATTAATATCACAACATGGTAGAAATTTAGGTGAGACATTGGTCGCAATAAAAATTTAAGTTTATGACGGTTTAAACGAATCGAGGTGATGATTCTTTGATGTTAAAGCATTAATCATTAGTTTAGTAGCATTTTTAACCGGACGATATTATTACATCTCATCTTTATCTTCTCCGGGTCAGTACGATTTAATCTTGTGGGCATGTTGGAGTATTTTTTTCTTTTTTTTTTTTTCTTGTCCCATAAAAAGATAGAATATTCCAAAAAAGGGAGTCATTTTTGTTGGTCAAAAGATAGAAAATGGTTTGAACACATTACCAAAGAAAGGCTTAGGTATCTGTTTTGTGCATTTCATTATTAAGGAAACAATGTTATTGAGTTTTCCCAAAAATATAATGTGAGAGTGAAGCATTTGTATGAAGCTTTGGTCAATTAGGGTTCCAAATATTTTCCATATTAAAGGAAGGGACAGCCATTTTTCACCTTTACCTTCCAAACCAAAAATATTCCTTTTTTTTTTTTTTTTTTTTTTTTTTTTTAGAATATCAATTTTGTAGAAAATATTCAAGGTAATCATGAGCCGATATTATTCTTTTTGAAAATTTTCTTCGGGGTTTTCCCTCAAAATTTTAAAACGTGTCTATAGAGAGAAGAACAAAACATTCCATATAAGAGTGTGGAAACCTCTCTTTAATAGACGCGTTTTAAAATTGTAAGGCTGACGGTAATACGTAACAGACCAAAGTGAACAATATCTATTAAAAGTGGGCTTAACGTGTCTGTAAAGAGTAGAATGAAACATATCTATTAGAAGTGGGCTTAACGTGTCTGTAAAGAGTAGAATGAAACATTTTTTTACAAGAGTGGAAACCTCTCATAATAGATATGTTTAAAATCTGCAAAACTGCAAGATTGGTGACGAAGTAACATGCCAAAATAGACAATATTTGTTGTTAGCATGTGCTTGAGCGGTTACATGCTCACTTTTATTCTTATATATTTGTTAGCATGGGCTTGAGCGGTTTCATGCTAACTTTTATTCTGAGTTTTGCATAAAAACTCATTTTCTCTAATTAAATTAAAAATTTAATGGAGAATTTAATGATTGAAATTAAATTTACACCTACTTATTTAAGATTTTAACTTTTCTTTTTTAATAATCACTTAGCCATTTTCAGATTGGTCGCAATAAGTGCATAATCTATGATTAACTTAGGAACAAATAAACATTCAAATTATAATGTTAATAAAATGATTATAATATTTGTCACAATACAAAGAAAAGAATCACTCTAATGAAACAGTGAAGTTCTAAAATTAAAGAAGCAACTAAGACCTGCTTGTAAAATAGCCCAACAAGTTCCTACAACACAAAAAAAAAAAAAAAAAAAAAAAAAAAAAAAAAAAAAAAAAAAAAAAAAAAAAAAAAAAAAAAAAAAAAAAAAAAAAAAAAAAA